AACCCATAAGCGTTCTCACTTTTACTCTTTGATTCTCCGCCCCATCCTGCTGGAGGAGGAGTGAGCAAGCGGCTGTGTGGTGCTTAGTTGCTGGCTGGGGTTAAACCATGACACCAATACATAGAGTGATCCAGAAAGAAGTGAGATGGATAGAGAAGGGGCTGGGGTAGGGAAGGTGTGCTGTCAGAAGGGAGGAACTATAAAGATGGGCACATCACAGAGGAGGATGCAGTCAGTAAAAGGCTGTCCTTTGCCAAAATGTAGTAGACAGGTAGAATTTAAGGCTGCGAGTGAGCAAAAGCTGGAAAGAAAAAAGAGAGACAGTGGAAGAGTGGGAGCAGGAGAGGGGAAGACTTGCTCAGTATGGAACTAGGGACACCGTGGAAATGAAGCCGGGAGAGAAGAAAAGACAAGGTGAAAATATTCACAGCTTGAGAGGAACTCAAGGAGTAAAGAGAAAGCTTGGCAGATGACAGATGTATGTATCATGCTGCCTGAGGCTTCCAACACAAACTGGGGCTTGAGCAAGCAGCAATGCTAGAGAATATGTGAGGGCACCACAGTGCTTGGGAAATGCCTGTCTTTGCTTGGGTCAGCATGCAGAGCTCCACCAGAACCTCCACCTGTTAATGTGAAAGATGTTTTTACAGCTCGGATCGATCCGTCTTGGCTGGACTTTTCAAACTCACATGCCTAAAGGTGGGTGACAGCCATCACATGTTTGATATGTCCATGGAAGATTGTGAAACAGTCTGAACTCACATCCCCAGGCATTTTGTAGAGGGTCCTAAATGGGGATACAGACAGCGAACAAAAAAAGTTCGCAAAGCTCATCTGTTGAGAAAGACTCATGTGGTACCAAGCAGCAGCCTCACAGGTGCAGAACAGGGCTCTCTGAAGCCTATCATCAGCTTTCCCCAACAGCAAAGACATGTATTAAATAAAATACAGGTATCCAGGTCCCTCAGCCCCCAAATATGAAGCACTGCCAGAGAGGCACTTCAGAAGTTTCACTGTGCTAGGCGCCTCCTTTCTGTTGGAGGAAGTGTGGAACAGAATGGCTGTACCTCTCCAAACTGTCCTTCTCCCAGCTTCTCTTTGAGTCGTAGCTGCTGCCGTGGGAATTCACCCACTGAGATGTCCTTCTTGGTAAGTGAATCCACAGTGAGGGCTGGGACTGCATACATGTTGTTGCCGGTCACACCTTGCAGGTGGACGATATCTGTTTCGGCATAGTGAGGAACATTGTTCTGAAAGCCTTGGTGAGGAGTGGACTTGGTCAGGTCGGGCTCAGCATAGTCCCCACTGCACACTAAGGGGAAACCAAAGACAGGTGGAGTCAGACACACGCACTCTCTTAAAACCAGTATGGCATGGCTTCCGCTCCTCTCGATCCTGCAGACCTCTGGGAATTCAGCCTAACTGCATCCCTACCACCTTGTACCAAGGTATACCCAGATGGAAGACTCTCCTTTGTTTTAACTAGGGCTTAAACCAGAGCAAGCCACACTTCTGCAGACACCAGCATACTGTGAAGTGCCAGTGAATTCATGTTAAACAGCTGCCTCTCTATCCAGTTATGAGAGCTAAAATTCTCACCCAGACACGGAGGCATGAGTCTAAAGTGATTTCCTGTTTCTGATTCATCCTAAATATGATCTGTTCCCCTTACCTGATGCAGGGATGTTGTTTGCAATGTCAAACTTGCTCTGGATTCGCTTCTGCAACAAGAATTGATCAGGGTCTCCATTTTCCATGTACTCTTTTGGCATGCTATGGTACCTCTTACAGCTTATTCACATAAATATCATGGCATAACTCTTTATAGTTAACTCCCTGTACGGTCAGTATTACACAGAACTTCTGTTCTGCTTCAAATTCACATCCTGACTCAATCCAAATCAGTCTCCCTGTGTAGTATAGTGCTGAATCTTAGCAACTTGTTGGTGCTTGAGGAATACAGCACTACCCTTCCATTCACTAATCAGCACTGCCATCACCGAGTACAAAACACTGTTGGAAACGTTCCCTTCTGCATGCGTCCAAAAGCTTCCCAGGGGGTGGAAGCCAGGGCACCACTGACAATTCTCTGCTGCATTCCCCTCTGCTTTTTCTAAGGGAATTTCAAAGAGCCATTACTGCAGGAAAAGGTGCTAAAGGTCTTCTCCACCAGCCAGTCTGGACAGCCCAGGAGTTCTGCAGGTAGCAGCTCCACTGCCAAGGGGCTGATGAGACAAACGATGTGCGATTGCTGCGATTGTCAAAACTAGCTCCTAAAAGATGACCTAGCTAACATATAAACACAGTCTTCAAAGAGAACAATAAAAGGCTGGTGCTCCATCTGCCAAAGTTACATGCTAAAAAGTTTCAGAGCTCCAGAATAGTCTTAGGTCCCTGGGTTAGTATTATATTGCATAGGAGTCAGAGAAGATTACTTAGACACTGAGAAGTGGCACATTTTAAAATTTGAGAGAAATAATAAAAGAATAAACGCATAACTTCTGGAGACTGACTATTACATTACCTGAATCCTCTGCACTTTGGGAGAGCTCTGGAAGCTTTTGGAGCAGTGTAGCTGGCTGGTGATATTCCAAATCCAGTGGGAAAGCGCGTTCATAGGTGGGATTTGACTGGTGGATCTGGGTCTGGTTGTTGGCAATGGTGTAGCTGTAGAAAGAGAGGCGAACTGTGGCATCCTCCTCCAGGATTCGACGTGGGGCCTGCAAAAGAGAGGAAAAAAGTGCTGAGGCGATGCTCAGTTGTTAAGTAATGTATTGGCTGCAACCGCAGCAATTTCCAGTAATGTCTTGGATAGGGCTGGCATCCTCCCCTGCTGCGAGAACAGAGTTTTAGCTCCTCTATGGAGCTGGGGAAACCCAGTGCTTTCCACATAATTCTGAGCTCATTAGGGTTAATGCTTAGTATCGAACTTGTGTCTGCAAAATAGCCCCATTGTATTACCTTTTCCAACCTTTTTTGAACATATTGTTTCCAAAGAATAATGATTATAATCATCAGGAGCAGAAGAATAATAGCCACAAGGCAGCCCACGAGGATGGAGGTATTGGAGTCATCTGTTTTCTCTCCTATCCAGGTGCTGGTTACAGAAGATGTGGTTTCTGCAATCAGAGAGGAATGAAGAAGAATCTGGAGTTAACAAAGCACAGGTTGTTATCTGTGCTGGCTAACTTCCTACATGTCCCTTCCTACAGTCTGGTACAGAAAAGATCTTAGGCACCTTCCTGAGCATTAACATCAGCTGTGCTCACATTTTGCTCTTATCAGAAATTCTCACTTTGGAGGCTCGCAGCTAAGAATTGTGCAGAGGACTGCTGCAATCAAAGACTGTTCTTAGCATTGGAACCGATTCCTGCGATGGATCCATGTTAGAGCAGACATTTTTCAGAGTTTCACTGGCTGCACATATGCCTTCAGCCTTTGCTCTGAGGCAGCCTCGGCCAGCTGAGGGAAGGAGAAATAGCTGAGGCTCGGAGGACTGTAAGATGCAGCTCTGTGCATGAGGGCAATAACCAGGCCATACCCACATCTCCAGAAATGGAGGGAGAGACCACGTTAACTAGGATGTTACTGTGAAATTCCCTGACACTTGAGCCCTTGGCATGGCTAAGTGACAGAAGTCCTTACCCCAGATCCCCTCAGTAACGTTGCACTCTGTTTCCAGGAGATCCGTTGTGCTTGTGGCTACTGTAACAAAATTAGGATTCACGCTCTCCATATCTGTGGAAGGGAAGGGAAGGTGTCAGTCCAACAACCTCCACGCTCCTGCCAGCAGTCAGTGCAATCCCAACCACCACTCCCACTTTCCCAAGCAGGACTGGGCTGAGACCCACACAGCAGGTCACGAACAGCATGAACCTGCTCACTCAGCACTTCCCAGCACACCTACAGGAATGAGCCTCTGCGTTGAGCAGCGTGTAGGTCCTGACCGCAGCAAACAGTCAGTGTGTGCAGGATACTTCCCTGAGTTTGGCCAGACACAGGGGATTGGAGCAAGGCTTTTTTTTTTTTTTCCTCCATTTTAGCATGATTCTAAGAATCGCCATCCCAGGCTAGACCAAGAGTCTGCCTAGCCACCCATGTGACAGAGGTTAGCCAGGAGGGGCTGCTATCAGCAAGGTAAGCAGCAAGCTGCAATCAGAGTGCTCCTTCCCCAGGAATGTCCTCTCACTATAGCAGATTAGGGACCTTCAAGTAGGAAGCTATAGCCAGATCATTTCACTGACAGTGCTGGTGGTTTTCTCCAAGACTCTTGTCCATTCCCTTCTAGAGCCTTTTAAAAGCACCTCATGACACTGACTTCAGCATCACAGTTAAGACTTGAGGAAAAAAAAAGTCAGCCTCTTATTTTTCATTGATCATCATCTGTAGATATTCTTAAATTATTTGTAACAAAATACTTGGTAAAGAGAAGTAAAAATCAATCCCTAAGCAGCAGGCAACTGTCTCAAAAAGAAGAAGTGCTCTATAGTCCAGGTTGCCCTGGTTGTGCTTCTGCACATGTGCATCAGTATCAGCCTGAAAAGAATCCACTGTACGCTGGACCTTTCTGCCCCTGCACTGCCCTTCCAACCCTCTCAATGCTTCTACTACCTCCTCCTTCCTGTCATGTAGCCCCACAGTGCCCTACACTCGTGTTAACTCCACATGTCCTGCACATCCACACCATCTCTTTTGCTCTCTGTACTTCATCAGATCTGCTTGACTGGAAGAATACTCACCTGACTGGAAGGAAATCTCGCTCATCATCATCCAGGTGTCAGCAAAGTAGAAGCGGCAAAGTATGGCTTTACCTACGCGCTGATTGAGGGGGACAGTGACAAACCTAGCACTGGGGTTTTTGTCATCTAAGACAGTTGCCACTCCAACAGGTTCAGACTCCCAGTCTGCAATCAGGCGTGGTTTGAACAGACACTCCACCTTCTGGAAGATCTTTACGCCCTTGGAAAACATGTTGTTACAATGCACCTAGGAAGAAGAGAACAGATCAATCAGACAGGAGGAAGATTTACTGAAACTTAAATCAAGCCTCAGAGATTTTCTGTTCATGAAGATTTTCTATTTCTACTATCTCCCTGTATGAATGTTCCTAACCCAGAATGAGTGACTTGTTCCAGTACAGCTTCATCCACTCCTAGTGTGCAACGAGAACATTTGTGCAAAAAGCGATTCTGAAATAGCTCTTAACTTTACATGCAAAAGCTACATTAATGGTCAAATTTTGGCAGCCTCTTCAAAAGGCCCATATAAAAATCAATCAAACAAACCTTGTATTAATCTAAAGCCTTACAGACCAATTCTCCTTGAACATATACCCTTGAAAGAAAAACCACACCTGGGCTCTAGCCTCTTTTAGAAAGCCTTCAGCATCTGCAGTCTAAGCTAATTTCTTAAAAAAAAGAGAAGTGGTACAAGCTCAAGAAGATACTCCCCTGACATACAGCAGCTCTTCTGCTGTGGTTGCACCTTGAAGACAACTGAGGATCTAAGTTTAAGAAAACCAGGGTGTAAGCCTGCATCCATCAACCTCTCCTGGTGGCTCATCATCAGGCTGCTCCTGCTGCAATGGCACCACTGGTTTAGCTAATGACGCTGGAATTTAAACTGCAATCACTATGTTGCCAAGCTAACATCTCACTAAAACAAAGGCATCCCCTCTCATCTCTGAGCTACAGCTCCACATAGTCCACTTTCAGACTAAGCGGTTCACAAACTGCTTTCAGGCTGACTTCACACCTCCGTGTTTGGGAGGTTTGTTTTACCCTCCCAAGAGCTGGTAGCAACTTTCTCCCTTCCTGCTCTTGGGCTGCACCCAAAACCAAGAGGCTCCAGCATAAAAGTGACATCTCCATCTTCCTGGGTTGCGGCACTGCAGGCCCATCAACACCAAACACCTGGCACTCTCCCAGACCTCCAGCACTTCCAAGGAAGCAGGCTTCGTGAAGAGGGACAAGGCTTGCAAGGATCCTTTACACTGTTCCACTGTCTTTCTTCAATGCAAATCTCACCCTGTGCCTTTTTAAACAAACAAATCTGACAGTTTAAGTTCTGCCATGCAGTCCTGAAGATCCGGACCACAGCATCTTGGCACTGTGGCCAGTGACCAGGAACCAAGAAGGAATAAGGTGACCCTTAAAATCTTTGGTATCCCTCCGTCTACTCCATTTGCATAGCCATGGTGGTCCGACCTTTCCTAGTGACTCTAGAAATTATTTCCTAATGACTGTGGAGTATTAGCAACTGTGACAACAACAGCTTCCAAACTAAGTGCAGCTTTGAACCCTATTAATTACTTGGCCTCTGCAAGGTCTTGCAGCGAATAGCAGTCAAGCAGTAATGAGGACGACAGGCCTGATGAGCAGTAGAAACACAAAAGAAGGGTATTTGCTTATAATTAGAAACAGATGAAGCTTAGACAACATTATTCAATAAGGAGATATAGTCATCCATAACAAGTCAGGAAAGCCTGACGCCTGCAATATACAATGTGCCATATTTGGGCAGGAGTTGGATATGTTCACATCTTGGACTGATACAGAGACACTTTCTATTCCAAACACCGCCTACTAATGTCCAATTTTATAATATGCAAGCCTAAGTAATTTGCAATGCAGTTGCAGTATTTGCTAACATTTATTTTTAATACTTCCTTGGATACTGGGGAAGCTCAGAAAACTGGAAGAAAGCTAACAGGTATGATCATTTACAGATCACCTAGCCTGTACAAAATAAATGCAAAGCTGAAACAGGCAACATTCAATAAAGAATGAAGAATAATTTATGCTAATTAATACAGCTGTATAATGAAATACCAGATGAAGTAGATATTTTTATGAGCTTATGTGTTTGGTTGATCAGGATGGCTGTGTTTACCTGACGGATTTTTATAAGGCGTTTGATTTACTTATTATAACATCTGACTCCAGTTAGTACCGTATGAACTCATGAATTATACTAATTTGATTAAAAATTTTCAACTAGTAAGTCTTACAAATTTTAAGGCACAAATCATTCTTCTGTAGCTGTATGTACTCCTAGCTCAAGGTTATTTGCTATCTTTTTCAGTGATCTGAAAAAGACAGCAGAATCACTAGCAATAAAATAAATTAAATGGGAAAAAAATAAATCAAAGTTTCCTCAAATAATCTAAGCTGAACAGGTTTTGGGACTGACTCATTTCAGGGTAGTAAACTCAAGAACAAAATGTAAGCAATGCTCTTTACACTGCACTTTTATCCTGGACACTAACAACTTTGAACTGACTTTCAGCATGATACCAAAGTCTTAATGAACACTGGCTCCCTATCCGTTGGCTAGGAGGACTAATATGATCACAAGATTCATAAACAAAGAAGAATTGTCCAAAGCCAGGAAATTGGTACCATTCTTTTATGCAGTTTGATGGAAAGCCTGCATCCAGTTCCAGTTTCTATACCTCCAAGTGCCAGTTTCTATACCTCCAAAAGAGTACTGGCAAAGAAATAAAGGATTGGAAGATAGCTACAAAAATTACCCTGGATCTCACAGGGAAGGCATTGAGAAGTTCAGCCAACTTAGTTTACTGAAGCAAAGATTAAGAGAGTGGTTTAATCACAGTGTAGAAGCAGGAAAATTTCTGAGAAGGCAGGACTCAGAATTTTTGCCAGCAAAAGCAGGCTAAGAGCCAATGGTTGCAAGTTAAAAATAGACAAAATAAAACTAGGGTAAGTAACCACCAAAACAATTTACTTAAGGATGTGGTGGGTTCTCCTTCATTTGAAATCTCTACAAGAAAAGCCACCAATCCTTTTTAAAAGATTCTGCTGTTTACTACAGACTCAAAAAGTTCAGCTCATCCTCTTCCTGTGTGTTTAAGTAATTTCCCACAGCACAAGCATAGACTGAGGCATCCAAAGAAATTTTTGGTCAAAATGGAAGCACAACCACATTCCTTACCTCAAGGGTCAGGCAGGCCCTAGACAGTAAGTAGCCTAGATCCTAAATCCATCTCAGTTGCCAGCAGGGGCTGCCTAACCACTGCTTCAGGTGTCTGCTTTTTATTCCTTTAAGCCAAATACTGAAAGGAGTGTGTCTGAGCTCTGGAAAGACAAGGGCTCCCCTGCTTCACCTTTCTACATTGGCAGACTTGGGACATCTCCTGCTAAAATTCTGCCTCTGGTGGGCTTTGCTGTTGGGCACCTTATATCCTCCTGATTTGGGAAGAGGATCCAAAGGGGTAACCTGGAAGCACCCAGACCCAAAGCCTGCCCCAGACTGCTGGAGAGGGACAACGCTGACTACCTTCATGGAGGTGAAGTTCCGTGGTCGGTCAAACTGAAACTCCATTTCAACAGAACCTGTGCTGAAGCTCTCATTCTTCCAGCCAACATAGTCATAGCCTGGCCATACACGGTACTGGTGGCTCTGCGTGAAATCGTCCAGACCTAGCACACCGTCCGTCAGCTGGCCCAGACCGCCGTACAAGTGCCTAGCAAGAAAGAACCAACAGTTAGGCAGAATACTAGCCAGGAGCGCTCAAATGTGAAAACACATGGGTCCTTCAACCGGTACCAGGAAAACATTAGTTTATTTACTCTTAACCCATCCTGGACAAGAACTCCTTCCCTGTTCTTATGCAACATCACCTTTATTTTGTTCAGGCTGGGCTTTTAAAACCTTTCCCTGCTTGGGAAAACACAGAAGTTTTTGCATTGAGATCAAGCACTGACAGCAAAGCCAAGCTATGAGCAGAGTCTCTTGAGAACAAAAACTGAGACTACAGAAAATGACACTGTATGCTCTCCAAACAGAGCTTTAATTGTAGCATTTCACCATGGAGCTGCATGGGAGGAACACTGCTCCATCCGGCCCTGGGGGAACCAGTAGGGA